AAAAAAAAAAAAAAAAAAAAAAAAAAAAAAAAAAAACAATGACATTTTGGATTATTTGGATATATAGTCATAAATGAATATAATCACAATTTAATTAAAATTAAGATAAACCTTTAATGAGATGAAATTAATAATAAAAAATGTAGGATGACTAGACTGTGAGTATCCGTTCACATGCTCCCTATGTATAGTTTAGTAATCATTAAATTTACCATGATTTTAGAATTTTCTTGTATTTTTTTTTGTTGGTAGATATTAGGATATACAAGACAAAAATAACTGATTCTAAATATTTGTAGTTTTGATTGATAAAATAGTAATAGTATGAAATAAAGAGTTATCGAGAATTCGAATTTCTCTCCTCTTTTTCTTTTTCAAGGAATAGATTTTTTATATATTTGATCGAATAGTCTGTATATAATTTTTTGAACTAGACTATATATCATCACGTAGTTCAACCCAAAAACTTAGATAGAAATAAGGAAAAATAATTTTTTAATATGACATGTCCAACTCAACCCAACATAAATAGCAAGATTTAAGTGATTTTTTTTTTTACTTCATTGGATCCCATATCTCGAGAAGTTATGGAAAGAGCAAGTTCAAAACCTCCTAAATTACTTTTCAAATCTTGCATTCAATTTCAATGAAAAATCATATGTACGGATTGGAGGAAATCTTTCGTATCTTTCAGGATCCAACTACAATATGAAGTCAAAAAGTTAAAATAAAGTATTTTAACCCTTATAAAAGTAATTAAAAAAAAATTGATTCCTCCTTTCACGCTCATGTCATAATGGGAGAATTTTTCATTAAAATAAATTTTTTTAAATTACAAAAAAAAACCTTTATCAATTTATTTACCCAATTAGCACCTTTTACTATTCACATTTAAAATTCGATTGCTGGAAAATCGAATTCTGAGTTGTTAAATTTTATTTTAATTTTTCTTTTTGCGTTTTGGGCATGGTATAAAACTGGATCCAGAACGGTCCGTTCAACTTTTAGAACGGGTCGTTTTTCTTGTAGAACGCCTCGTTCTCCTTTTAGAATGGGTCGTTCTCCTTTCAGAATGGGTCGTTCTCCTTTCAGAACGGGCCGTTCCGGATGCAAAAATACACACATGATGAATGGATCAAAACGGACCGTTCTGCTTGGACGTTCCAATTTCAAAATTAACAGACAACGCGTGCAAGCAGAACGGCCCGTCCTGCTTAGAGAACGAGCCGTTTCAGTTACAACATTAACACACAACCTGAACTACAAACATGAAAGAAAAAAAAAAATTTAAACACTACTCAAAATTCGGTTTTCCGGGAACCGAATTCTGAGCAAAACAAAAAACAAAAAAATTGAAGTTCATAATTCGGTTCCTCGGAAACCAAATTCTGAGTGTGCTGTTTTGGTAAAAAAAATTTAAAAAAAAATTATTTCAGTAAAAAATTCCAGTGGAGGTATTGTAGAAGAAAAAAAATCGTAAGATTTGATTCAATTTATAGCAATTGATTAGTTAACATAGTTATTAACCGTATTGGAAAACATGTAAAAAAAATCACTAACTTTTCAAATTATCTATCTAGTTATGAAAAAATTTGACAAAAGACAAACAAATCCACTATATGAAGCAATATGTGGAGTAATAATAGTGAAAGTAAGACGGATAAATACATCAATTATTAAGTTCTCATTGAAATAGGATCCAGATAAGGAAAAATCTTAGCATTAATAGGGGCATCCTAAAAGTATCTATTTTGAAATATGGCTTTCAAATTAAGTTATAAACTAATGAAATGTTACGTATGAGTGTTACAATAAATGCAAAACTCTTAACCATTAATTAGATTTAACACAACAATTAATAAATAAGTTATTAGGAGAATTATAACAATAAACAAATAATTAATAGTTTATCTATTAAAATTATAAGTTAATAGTATTTGTTAGGTTGAAAAGTGATATAAAAAAGTAAAAAAGAAAAGACTTAATAGAAAAGTATCACCTAAACTTATTTTTTTTGTCATACGTTATAGCTAGAAGTTTGTTAATTATTTTTCATTTAATTTTCCTCTTGTGAACAATAAAATATGTCATTCTTAACTTTTTTTTAAAAAAAAAATTATTGGAGATCGTCGTCAGAGAATCCTTAGTAATATAATGTTAAAAGAATCTAGCAACAGTCTTGGCCTAGAACATTCGATGAGAGTAATCTATCTTCCTAGACTTAATTGTTCTTATATATAGTGGTATAGCACTACAGACATGAATCTCACTTTCCTCCTTGTGATCCCATAAATCACGTCTCATTATGGACTCATAAATCTCAGTGTTTAGGATCGTTATATTGCTCATCCCGCGAATCGTGGGATGTTATTGATTGTCTAAGCGGATGAATGAATCCTCCTATATTTAAGTCCCCATACGTATAATTCGAGCCTTGTGGTATACAACACTTATCCCTTATCCAAGAGATATCTTGTTAGTGGACTCGACATTTTGCCGATGTGCCTCGGGTCGGCCAATGAGAGACCACCTCGATACCAAACCCTCTAGGCTTGAGCACTATGGGATGACGAGTATATCGAATCGTCATTTTGCCGACGTGCCTTAGGTCGATCCACGGGAGACTACCACGGTACATAGCCCTCCATGCTCGATCACTAAGGTGCGAAGAGTATGTTGGATCAGCATTTTGCCAACGTGCCTTAAATCAGTCCATGGGAGACCACCACGGTACCAAACCCTCCAAGCTTGAGCATTGTGGAACAACGAGTATATCGAATTGACATTTTCCAAACGTTCCTTTGGTCGGTACATGGGAGACCACCACAATACATAGCCCTCCATGCTCAAGCACTAAGGTGCGAAGAGTATGTCGAATCGGCATTTTGCCGACATGCCTTGGGTCTGTCCATGGTGTTGGAGATGGTTGAGATGATGAAGATCATTGAGATGACAAGAAGACCCCTCAAGAAGTTTTAGTTTTGATGATATTGTATAAATGATGTTTGAGCCTATGTAAAAGTATATTGTATTGATTGTAATAGATATAGGTTTGTGTGTGTGTTTGTTTATGTTTGATGATGTATGCTTAATTCAAGAATTTTTCAAGCTTTTAAAGAATCCAGGAATTTGTTTTTTTAAGTATTTTTATGACTAAGCATGAATTAATAGATTATCTTGAAAATGGTAATTTACTACCAAGTGTTTAAACATAAAAATAGAACTTGATTCAAACAAGAGTTTTCAAGGCAACTTTGTTAATCAAATTACTGTAGACACCCAATTTCGTCCGGACCCATAAAAGTAATGAAATGGACGTCTATTATCAAGGAAAGGAACTTCCGAAGCATGGAAGCAATAGGACATGACATCAGAAAGCCTAAAGCCCAAACAAGCTGATGGAAAACTTGATGGAGAATCTGGATTGATGTGAATCCTCTTCAAGTTCCTCCCTAGATCTTCGGCTCCTTGATTCTTCCTAAGCTTTGCTAAGGTCTCCAATGGAGGAGGAGACCTTAGAACCACCACGGTTTGGTGGAGAACTCTCCCAAGAGACGCCACTCCTTGATGAAGAGATAAGTCTCTTCAATTCTCACCACACTCTTCTAGTGATGGGATAAGAGAATCAGATGAATATCAAAGAGGTTTAGGGACTTTTAGAAGAGAGAAATCTGAATAATCTTCATAAAATAATTCTCAATATCTCAAAAAGTGTTTTACAATGAAAGGAAAACAAGTATATAGGAGTAGGAAGCTTGGAGAGCAAGCTACCCTTAACCATGGTTCACTAGGAACCATGGTAAGGTCTAGCTAACCATCCATGGTCTAGAGGCTTGGAGAGCAAGCTACTCACTTAGCTTGCTTGGTAAGCAAGCTAAGGAGAAGCTTGTGCTTCAAGCTTGAGAGGAGACAAGCAATTCGGCCAATGTGAACACAAGCTAAGGTGGGCGGCTCTTTGGACTTTATTTTACTCCAACCGGTTTTGAAAATGTTGATTTGGTTTAGTTAGGTTCATCCAATGTGAATGGAACCTAGCTAAATCAAATCTATGAAAAATTAGGAGTAAAATGAGTCCAATATGTAAAAATTTGCATATGCCCACCTCTAGGCCCAATTGCTAGTAACACTCTCTAGCTTGCTAGTGAAACTCTCTAGCTTGCTAATTCCACTCTCAATCCTACTACTAGAAAACTAAGAAAATAGTGTATTTCTAGATTAGGTTAAATGGAGTCAAAGTGTCCAAGTAACCTATCCTAGAAACAATATACAATAGCTAGTAAAGGAATCAACTATACAAGTATGTACAATGGAAACTCAAGAGACTAATAAGAGGAATCATAATCAATGCTCATGAGGAGCAAAGGTCTAAGA